GTCTGAGTTTGCTTTGCCCTGCAAGGATGCATAATAGGATGTTTTGGCCAAAGGCATGGTTCCCAGGTGTCTTGTACTTCAAGGCCTAATTAGAAGATTCTTTGCCATAAGGCATGGTTATCAGGTCTTTTGATAATTAAGGAAGTGTCTACACTTGTTTGTACATTCTACCTTGACCTTGAAATGAAGAAGTATTATGCCTCTCCCCTTGCTGATGTATAAAAAGACTATTAGAATTAAACTTGAGATGTCTGATATTTGACTCAGAGCCCTCTGGAATCTATCCTGTGTCTATGTCTTTTTCCTTGTCTACGTCTATATTTTCATATCTGTTATTTCTCAATCCACACTCCTCTATACCCAGGACCATCCAAAGGTTGGGCTGGAACCAGCAGCATCTACTCTGTTAGCCTATATCTTTTTATAGGCAAATTGAATCCATTGATATTAAAGGATATTAATGACCAGTGATTGTTAATTCCTGCTATTTTGGCGGGGGGTGGTAGTGTGTGTGTGTTTTCCTTCTTTGGGTTTTTCTGGTATGAGGTTATCTATTCCCTGTATTTCCATGGGAACAGCAATTTCCTTGAGTTGAAGTTTTCCTTCTAGAACTTTCTGTAGGGCTGAATTTGTGGACAGGTATTTTTTAAATTTGGTTTTGTCCTGGAATATCTGGTTTTCTCCATCTGTTGTGATAGGAAGTTTTGCTGGATATAGTAGTCTGAGATGGCATCCTTGGTGTCTTGGAGTCTGCAAAACATCTGTCCAGGACCATCTGAATTTCAGAATCTCCACTGAGAAGTCAGGTGTAATTCTGATAGGTATGCCTTTATACGTTACTTGCCCTTATTCTTTTGCTGCTTTTAATATTCTTTCTTTATTTTGTATGTTTAGTATTTTGATTATTATGTGATTATTGTTTTTTTTTTCTGTTCCTGTCTATTTGGTGTTCAGTAATTATCTCGTACGTTCATAGGCATGTCCTTCATCAGGTTTGGAAAGTTTTCTTCTATAATTTCATTGAATACATTTTCTGTGCCTTTGAGCTGGAATTAGTCTCCTTCTTTCTCTATTATTCTTAGGTTTGTTTTTTTCGTGGTGTCCCATATGTCCTGGATTATTGTTTTAAGATTTTTTTGGATTTACCATTTTCTCTGACCAGTGAATCTATTTCTTCTATCATATCTTCAATGCCTGAGATTCTCTCTTCCATCTTTAGGTATTCTTTTGGAGATGCTTTCATCTGTAGTTCCTGTTCACTTAATATATTTTTCTTTTTCCAGAATTCCCTCAGTTTGTGTTTTCTTTCTTTACTCTGTTTTAATTTTCAAGTCTTGGACTGTTTCCTTTACCTATTTTATTGTTTTTCCTTGGCATTCTTAGCTTTCTTTAAGGCATTTATTGATTCCCTCCAATTTTTTGTTTGTCTTGTCCTCTAAGGGAAATTTTTCATTTCATCTGTAAGGGCCTCTATCATAATAAAGTTATTTTTAAGGTTATTTTCTTCTGTTTCATCTGCTTTGGGAAGTTCAGATCTTTCTGATGTAGAACCACTGGGTTCTGGTGGTATCGCAGTGCCCTTTAGGATGTTGAATGCATTCTTACACTGGAGTTTACCTATTTCTTCATCCAACTGGTGTAGGTGGTGTTTGTGTCTATAGGGGCTGCTGTGCTTCCAATTGGTATGGGTGGTGCTTGTGTCTATAGGGTCTTCTGATGTTGTGGGAGATGACTATCCATGGGGATGATGCTGGCATATGTGGGGGTGGGTGACAGAGTGGATCTTGTGAGAACTGAGTTCAGTGGGTGGCAGAGGTAGGGTAATGGTGCATTCTGCCTATAGGTCTCTCACCTGCTGGCTGGCTGCTGGTGTTTTCAGCAGAGCAGTGAGATTCTACTAGGTTTGAGGGAAGGACCCAACTGTTTTGCTGGGGCCGAGATAGGGGGGGGGCACAGGATGTGCCCTAGTGCTTAGGGCATAGAGATTGGGGCAGTTCACTTGGAAGACCAGTCAGTCACCATTCTGCTGATCTCTGTGGGCAGTGCTTGTGCCTATAGGGTTTGCTGGTGTTGCCACAGAGGGCTGTCCACAGGGAAAATGCTGGGGTAGGTGTGGTTGGGGTGGCAGAGTGGGTCTATTCTAAGTGTTGTCTACCATAAACCTATGGGTTTTGTTTTCCTTTCATTCTCTGGTCTTTGCTGGTGAAGATATTTGCTTTTATCCATGGAGTATACATTGCAAAAAAAAGATGAATGAATCTGAGTATAAAGATGAACTCTAAATAAATTACATTTCTCTGTATGCTTTTAAGCCTTGTTGTTTAGTACCAGAGTTCCTCTATCCCTGGTGTCTTCCTTTAACCTTGCTCTGACATTTTGGGTCCATTATCAAGTAAAATAAAAGTTACCTGAACAGAAAAATCTCCAATATCCTGAAAAGTTTCCTGAAAGTGACTGTAAGATTATTATTACATCTAATGTGATAGTGTGCATTTTCAATAATCCATATTTTATTGTCAAGATTTTTTTCTTTTGCTTGTTCAATTGCAAACTTCATCACTCAAATGTCTGAATCTCTTTTGTGCTTTATATACTTTCTTGATTTTATTGACCCATCTTTTTCTCTAATTCTTCCATCCCCCTTTGTATTAACTCCTCCTTATCTCTGTAGTCAAGCCACACATTGGTTTTACATTTTCCAATTTTATAACGCCTATGTATTACTACAACCCTCCTTTGCTGGAGCACCTCTTCCAACTCTTTACATGGTCCCTTTCTACTTCACTGGCTTCTGCAGTTACTCCAAATTTTTAGTCAAATCTAAAGATTTGGAGCTCATGTTTCTTCTTTTTTTATAATTTGATTTAATTTTAGATAACAGACATAGATTCCCCTGTCCTCCCTCCTCCTGGCCTCCCACAACCCCCCCCCCCATCATACCTCTTTCCCATCTCCTCCAGGGCAAGGACTCCCCTGGGGATTCAAATTAACCTGGTAGATTCAGTCCAGGCAGGTTCAGTCCCCTCCTCCCATGCTGAGCTAAGTATCCTTGCATAGGCCCCAGGTTCCAAACAGCCAGCTCATGCACTAAAGACAGGTCCCAGTCCCACTGCCTGGATGCCTCCCAAAAAGTTCAAGCTGATCAACTGTCTTGCTTATCCAGAGGGCCTGATGCAGTTGGGGGCTCCACAGCTATTGGTCTAAAACGACTCTGAGATACCACCTTACACCTATCAGAATGGCTAAGATCAAAAACACCGAAGGCAGCTTATGCTGGAGAGGATGTGGAGCTACAATGTTGGTGGGAATGCAAGCTTGTACAGCCACTTTGGAAATCAATATGGTGCTTTCTTAGAAAATTAGGAATCAATCTCCCCCAAGATCCAGCTATACCACTCTTGGGCATATACCCAAGGAATGCTCAATCATCCCACACGGGCACATACTGAGCTATGTTCATATCAGCATTGTTTGTAAAAGCCAGAACCTGGAAACATCCTAGATGCCCTTCAACTGAAGAATGGATAAATAAAACGTGGTGCATATACACAATGGAGTAGTACTCAGCAGAGAAAAACAATGTTTCTTCTTTTCAAAGATGTTTTCTGGGCTTCCTTATTTTTGGTTGTTGATTAAACAAACTTTAATATTCATTCCTTAGGATTAGTTCATAGAAAATAATTAGATTATTAAAAATGTTATAGTCAGGCAGTGGTGGTACACACCTTTAATCCCATCACTAGGGAGGCAGAGGCAGTTGATTCTGTATGAGCTCATGGCCAGCCCGATCTACAGAGTGAGTTCCAGGACAGCCAGGCTAACAGAGAGAAACTGCCTCCAAAGAACAAAAAGAAGAGAAGGAGAGAGTGAATGAAAGAAAGAGAGACACTATGTTTACTTTATTTTTATGTTTCTTTCTTCCATGCATTTATATCTGTAATTTTTAAAATATTGTATTTTAATAAGTCTATATTAAAATTTTAATGGAATATAGTTTCATCACTTTCTTCCTCCCTGTCCTTTCTCCAACCACTCTCATAACATCCCCAACTTCTCCAATATCTTTCCAATTCCATCTCAAGCTAATGGCCTCTTTATGATTAATATTTTTACACATTTGTAGAAATGCATAAGTATATAAAGAAACATTTTGGATCTGTTCAGCGTGGCTTAGGTATATTTGATTTGAAGGCTGACCACTTTTTAGTGGATAGTGATTAGGAGGTCATCCCTCAAATAGACTAATTCTCCCAGTTTCATCAATTACCTATAGTTCATTGTCGAGGATTGGGACTTCTTGGGATTTCTCCCTTCATTATCATGCACATTTATATTATCACTGTTCAGGCCTTGTTAAATATCATGAATGAAGCTTCTTTCTCAATTTTCAAAGATACGACCTGACAACACAATCCCTGGTCCTCTACCCTTACAATCTTTTCACCCATTCTTCAAAGTTGTTCATCAGTCATTAAGTGGATAATATGTGTGGTACATATATCTGTTGGGCTGTGCTCCACACCATATTTTGATCTCTAAATTATGACCTGTTGTGGTTTACTGTAATAGTCTCCATTTTCTGTAAATAAAAGCTTCTTTGATGATGGGTGAGAGCTAAACTTATCTGTGGGTATAAGGTTGAGTTACAAGCTAAAAGCTTCCTTCCTGTGGTCTAGCATTACCAGAAAGTACTGTGAAACTGCAAAGAAAGGGAAGCAATAAATAATTCTATTGAACTGTGATGCCTGTAAATCAAAACCCTGAACAGGATTGCAAGATATCCCTAAAAGTACAGCAGTAATACTCACATCTGCTCAGTAACCAACAGCTTTCTAGTTTGACCCACTCAATAGGAAAAGAATCATGCATGGCAATAGGAATATAGCCAGCTATGCAGACCTAGTGAAATCATGTATCTTAGCAGATAACCTACTACTATCACTTTACTATATCTGCATTTTTAATGAAAAATTATTTTTTCTTCCATACTTTATAGGTTGATTTTGGTGGAGAAGAGGTATTTTTTTCCTGTGGATGAATCCAATAATATATTCTTCAGGGGTATAACATACCTGGCTGCAATGAGAGTGTACTACCATAGTCTCTGTGAAGCTCAGTAAGTGGAGGTAAGTATTACAAAAGAATTGCCAGGGCCATTAATGACTTTCTTAGCACCATGACCACAGCAACCCTTATAAAATAAGGCATTTAACTAAAGCTAGCTTGATGTTCCAGAGCTTTACTGTTTTAGATGTTTAGTCCATTATCATTATGGTGGGAAGCATGGTGGCACACAGGCAGACATGGTGCTGGAGAAGGAGCCAAGAGTGTTCTACATTTGGATCAACAGGCAGCAGGAAAAGAGAATGGCACTGGGCCTGGCTTGATCATCTGAATCCTCAATGCCTGCCCCCAATGACACACTTCCTCCAAACCTACTCCAACAAGGCCACATGTCCTAATCCTTTCAAATAACGTTACTCTCTATGAGCATACGGGGGATATTTTCATTCAAATTATCACAATGACTGATGATGTGTTTATACTCATGTCAAAGGTTCCTAGGACTCCTTCAACCTCATTTTTCTCTGGAGAAGTCATGGCCAAGGGAACTTTTCTCGGCTATAATTCTAGCCTATGTAAACATTCTAGGAAGCAGTGATACTGATCTATAGCACCTAGAGAGATACCACAAAGTTTTGTCTGAAGGATAGGCATGGAAGAATTATGGTTGGGGCATCAATACATTGAGCATAGATGTGAGGGTTCTCCCCTTTCCTCATGGCATTTTGGCCACCAGCCCATGAGGACAAGAGGCAGAAATGCTAACAAAGATCTTTGCATGGCCTGTGACAATGACAGAGATAGCTCTCAGAGACAGCTTCAGTGAATCTGTTCAACTTTATCCCAAAGTATAGGGAATATATAGGATTGGGAACAGTAGCTGGAGAATCATCTAATTTGTATTAAACAGCACATTCTTATCATAAATCTCTAAATACAAGTCTTAGTTGTCATCTGTGGAAGCATGTTCCTGTCATAATTCTCCTAGCACAATGTCTAATTACTATATGGGCATCATAGGGAAAGCTTCTGCAGGGAAATGTATCCAGAGTCATACTAGAGATAAATCAAACATCCTAACTTAAAGACAGTCTCCAAATAAGATCAGGTAGAGAACAGGATGTCTTCTACCATGGGGAGGGATTTGTCCATGCTGCCGAACTGAGAGAGAGATGCCAGGTCATGGTAGACTGCAACTTCTGACCAGCAGAGCCTCTCAGCACATAGTTGTCTCCACTGCTTTTATGATAATAGTTTGTAAAGTGGGGACATTTGTGAAATAACCACATTTTGAGGTCTACAACATCACCACAGAATTACAGAATTCTCAAGACCAATGTGCAAACCAGCTTACAAGAGTGATAACTTTGGTGACTAAAATGGAGTTATGATAACTACATCAGTGTAGGTAAAGTATGGAGTGTAGTTACATGCCGAGATATGGTAGTTCTGAAGTCTTGTGAGTGGACTAGCTCACTTTGACTAGGTCAGAAGTCAGAGCCACAGATACTGTGGCTGTTGAAGAGCTGTGTTTAATATAATCAGTGCACCTATAGTGATCAGGACTCCAAGTTCAAAAGTAAAGGTTAGTCAACAGCAACAGGACTTCTGCTGTTTTGGGCATAGTTATATACCATGTAACTATAACACCAAAGTCTGAAATGTGAGCATGCTTTGAATAGACACAAAACAGAAATTTACAATGTGGATAAATACATAATTGTTGTGGGTCTCTGATTAGTAGTCCATATTGGTTTTGGAAGGATGGTAAATAAGCCCTTGGAGTGAAACAATAGCAATCCATTTAGTATCCTACCTACACTAGAGGGGTCTATTCCTTCAAAGCCTGTGCATTACCTCTGTTATGAATGTTTCCAAGTGTTTTATTATTTAGAATCTTGTAATACATAGATACCCACCATGATGCTATTTTTGTATGTGTCCTGACTTTTTTTGTTACTCATCTCCAGATTTATCACATACCAAAGTTTTCTCAGATCTATCATATGTAATTGCTCTTTGTTTTGTGTTTTACTACACTGTGTTGTCATAAATTTATTCATTTACTTTACACCTACTGGTAGATATATTCATTCACAGAAAACACGTTATTACATTTTGTAGAGAAAATATTGAATCTACTTCTTAGACATCTTGTTATGCCCCACATCTATCATCATCCAACAGTCATATTTAGGAGGATTATTTCTCTTTATCTTTACATCAAACTACTCTACCATCTTAATGTTGTTACAGCATTTCTAAAGCATCATTGTCTGTATCCACAATTTATTTAACTGGCAGCTTGTGTTAGTTTTAGAAAATCATAATATAAACAGTAAAATATATTTTTTTACCATGTTCATAATAGTATGTAGCCACAGGTGGTAAGTTTTCTGTGCATATAAAGCTCTTCTCATGTTTTCAGTGCTAGGAAAGTCTCAGATGTTAAGTATATTAAAGTCCAATCCCAAGACTTATAAAACAAATCCAGTTTTTAGCATAGAGTGACCATAATAATCATTAAATACATGAATTTGCAAAAATTAAGCAATTAACCTCCATTTCTCTCAGTATTATGATGATGAAAACATTAGATAAATTGGGTAAAAGCTTTTTAATATGAAGTAATTATCTAATAGTTGAACAAATGTAAGGCCTTTGCTTATTTCAAATTTGAAAGCAACACTTAAACATAGTATCTATTAACTGAATATTTAAAATATGAAAATAAATGTACAAATGTTTTTTGTTCTACAAAATACCTAAGAAATGAAACAGATATTACAGAAGGTGTTGTGTTCCTTTCTGTTTATATACATGCACACATATTGTGATCCAATGGAAGACCAGATATCTAAAACTATTTGTTAGCCCAAATAGGTCTTTATGAGTTAAGAAAAAAGGACACGGGCTGGAGAGTTGGCTCAGTGCTTAAGGGCACTGACTGCTCTTCCAAAGGTCCTGAGTTCAATTCCCAGCACCCACATGGTGGCTCTCAACAACCTGTAATGAGATCTGGTGCCCTCTTCTGGCCTGCAGGCATACATGCAGACAGAGCACTGTATACATAATAAATAAATAATTTAAAAAAAAAAAAGAAGTAAAAAGGACACAAATTTAGGTGAGTAACAAAGGGGGATGGATCTTCCAAAGGGACAAGTTGGAAGAGAGGGACTGGATATGATGAAACTGTATTGTTCAAAACTCTCCAAGAAATAATCATGCATATATATATATGTATATATAATTTTAGTACAGTATATGTCAGAATAGTCAAGAAGGCAGCAACCTGCTAAAATTAAAAGTGCTCTTAAAATTATTTTTTCTTTTTTAATGATTTTAATATTATTATTATTATTATCATTATTATTTATTATATATTTACATCTTGACTGCAGTTTCCCTTCCCTCCTCTCCTGCCAGTCTCTCCCCATACCTACCCTATCCCCCTACCCACTCTTCCTCCTTTTCTATTCAGAAAAGAGTAGGCCTCACATGGATATTAACTAAGTATAACATATCAATCTGCAGTAAGACTAGGCACTTCCCCTCACATTAAGGCTGGGTAAGCCAACCCAGTATGAGGAACAGTGTACCAAAAGCCAGCAAAAGAGTCAGAGACAGTCCCTGGTTTCACTGTTAAGAGTCCCACAAGAAGATTAAGCTACACAACTGTCACATATATGCAGAGGGCCTAGGTCAGTGCCAGGCAGGCTCCCTGATTCTTGGTTCAATTTCTGTGAGCCCCTATGAGCCAAGGACAGTTGATTCTGTAGGTTTTCTTGTACTGTCTTTGACCCATTTGTCTCCTACAGTCTTTCCCATCCCTCTCTTCTGCAGGATTTCTCAAGCTCCACTTAATGTTTGGCTGTGGGGCTCCGCATCTGTTTCCATCAGTTATTCTGATGACAATTGGGTGGGCACCAATTAATGAGTACAACAGAATATCATTAGGTATCATTAAATTGACTTTTTTTTCAACAGTTATGTTTGTTTTTATCCAAGTACTCTGTGCTATCCAGTCTCTGGGTCCTGGCACTGCAGGCAGTGTCAGGGGTGGGCTCCCTCTTGTAGCATGGGTCTGAAGCTAAACCAGTCATTGGTTGGCCACTCCCAAAGTTTCTATGCCAATTTACCCCAGTATATTCTGTAGGCAGGACAAATTACAGGTCAAAAGTCATGTAGTTAGGTTTGTGTGCCAATACCATCACTTGAAGTCTTGCCTGGTTACAAGATATGGGCAGTTCATTCTATGTATTCCCTGTTGCTGGGAGTCTTAGCTAGGGTCATCTGTGGTGGTAATCTAATTGTATTGAAATATTATTTTGATTTGTGTTGAAATATTAATTTGATTGTATGTTAATAAATAAAGTTGTCTGGGGGTCAGAGCTATTAGAGCCATAGCAAGAGTGTGGCGGTGGTGGCACACGCCTTTAATCCCATAGATATCTGTGTGTTCAGG